TAAAATATTACTCTGTGACAACAATGCTCATTACAACATTACAATACTTTCTCACATGGAAATGTGGAGGCACAGCAATGGATTATTTGCAAACTGACTAACTAAAAATAATATACCCAGTGAAAGTTTTCTCACTAAGCTTCATAAGAAACAGCTAGATTTTACTCAGTCATGCCAACTGCCAAACTTCCTTGGTGGGGGTTATAAAAGCAGAGATTTCATCAGGGGTCGATGTTTGTTGCCCCTGGCAACCTCTCAGCCTCTGAGAAACACATGAGATAAGGAAGGATACTGTCACACATACATACACAGCTACGTCCCTGTGACCTAGACGAGCTCAAGGAATATCCTACATGTTAAGTAGTTTAACCATAGAAATGCAAAAAGCTGACAGAGCCAGCTACATGGCAGAAAGCAGCAGAGGATGTGTCATGGATTGTACAAGTGTGCCTGTGCAAGTGTGTTTATTCAAAGTCTGGTTTGACAAAACCTGTTCCTGTGAGCTAGCAGAAGTTGACAGCTCATTCCCTGTGATTTTTACACCTACACTACTGTCTTGAACTAACAAACACACACACGGACACACACTGGGCTGCCAGTCTAAATGAGCTTATTTGTGACTCCTCCTTCCAAGGACTTCTTTCAAAACAAAGGCTTTGAGTTTACATTTCTAATCCTTGCTGTGAGCTTGATGATCTTACAGCTTTGATGCACAACACCTGAGGCAGACATACAATAGCCCAGTATTTCCTTCACATGGTTTCATACAAAAGCCACATTTAAAAGAAAAGGAACACACACACACACACACACACACACACACACACACACACACACACACACAATACCTGTCTGGGAGAGCTGGAGCAGAGAGAGTGAGAGAGATGAAGCATGTCCAAGTGTGAGAATGAATTAGGCTGACACCCACACACGTGTATACATATCTGCCTGTTGATTACATCATTTCCCATTACACACATACTTCGGAATCGGAACCTCCTTTTTTTTTTTCTTCTTTTTTTTTGGCGGAAGTTGTTTAGGCCAATGGGAGTGGACGTTTAAATGGAAGGGAGAAGAAAAGAGAATGACGAAGCGGGTGGTTTTAAGAGTGACTGAGCTGCCCCAGCTGCTTTTTCCTGTGGTACAGGGTTTAGTTACAGAAACTGCTGCTTAGCAAAACAATGAGAATCCTACTTACACTGCTACACCAAGGAAGAAAAGCTAAAGGAATGAAAGACAACTATAAAAATGAATGTAATAAAGTAAAATAAAACCTACAGTAGCAAATTACCCACACCTGACTTCAGATACACTTTAACTGTTATACTAAGCAACTAGTATCAAAAAGAGGAACTGAAAAACAAGACTGTTTAACCTGAACAGAAACAGAAGTTATTAAGGAACTACTTTAATCTACACTGTGGTTTGCAAAAGCAAAGTTAAAGGCAGGGTTGTGCAACTGTGGTCAAAAAAGGGGAAGACAGGAAAGAGCCTCCATCATGCCCAGAGCTCACAGTTTGACCCCACCTCCCGCTAAGAGTAATTTACACCATTCAGAAGACTTTAACATTTTATTTTGACATCTCTCTTCAGTTTATATCACTTCTCTTTTACACTGTCTGTTGGCATCTTCTTTATTTGGACTACCTTAACTCTGTTGCATCACTGACTCCCACCTTGCTCTCCCCCTAAAGTCTTCTTCAATAGGAGGTTTCGTGTAGCTTTGGGGGAAAGGGGATAGGCGGAGGTCTGTTTTTCTGCTTCTATTTTCTTTCATCCATGCAAACATATAGCTGAGGACTGCCGGTAGCTAAGTAGAAATGACAACAGAGTGTGTGGTTTGTGTGTGGTTTTCACTGCTGAGGGAGACAGAGAGAGAGACCCAACAGCGAGGAATCCTCTTATAGCAGCCTACGCTCTCCTCTCTTGCCTCTAAGCTAGTGATGTATCCCTCATCTTGCCCCTCCAATTCTCCATCCTCCCGCAGCAAGTGATTAAAATAAGGGTTTTGTTTTTCCTTCCATTTTTAACACTTCCTTTTCTTTCCCCACCACACGCTTTGTTTCAGCTCATCCTGTTACAGTTAGGCAACTCACTTGTAGCCTCCTGCATACAATTAGCTTGATTTTCAAGGTTTCTTGTGGAGTTAAAGTGCTACATATAATGGCATTTATAAGTACAAAATACAGCTTAACCCTGTGTGTGCAAAAGATACAGAATAAAAAAAAAATGGAAGAGACTGCAACAGTTTTCACCGCTCAAATTGCCAGGAAATTTCATGAGCCCTCTGGCACGAACGACTGTCCATGATGCCAGATGACAGCAGAGCCTGCACGATCTTTCTGCTCCATGACCTGCTGTGCTTCATTGTCAAAAAGCATTAAGAGCCCTAAGACACTTGCAGCCATGGGTGCCACACATCAACAAGCCTAAACTTGTGTCTGCGCACGCGCGCACGCGCGCACACACACACACACACACACACACACGACATTACACTGACAGGGCACCCAACCAACAAACCCTAGGCACAGCCTCCGCCTAAGGTCAAAGGTAAACACACACACACATATGGTAAGCAAAGGACAACAACGAATTAAACGCTAAAACAAAACTGCCACAACAGCAGAAGCCTTTTTTGCGAAGGTCACAGAGAAGTAAAACGAGCAGCTTTAAACTTCGAGTACTTCGAGCACGTACTCGCAAGGCTCTGTGGCTTCACACCAGCCCCCCTATACAGGAAGCCCCAGAACAGGATGAGTGGTGTGGAGAAAAGCTGCATCACATGACAGCTATTAGAAAAATCCCAACAACGCATTATCCAATATGCCCGTCTGTGGTGGTTTCTCTTCCCCTGTCACGAACACAAATCACCTGAGGAATAACAAGTGCACACACCTGCTACCAAACAGGATAAAGACAGGTACAAAGTCTGCCTCCACGACTGATGGGACAGAAGCAAAATGGTAGCAAAGAATATGTCGTTACTATGATAAGTTGGAAAGCCCCCCCCGCCTGCTGTGTCATATCATATTATTTAGTTGATTTAAGTAGGATCCTACCTGTTCCTGGGCGCTGCTAACCAGCTAGTCTCACACCCTCAATACTGGTTATACACCTTCTCTTTTTTTAAAAACAAAACAAAAAAAAAAAAACCCGAGAATTTCTGTCCCGGTGAACTGTTAGCTCAATGGAAAAATTACATTAGCTTTCTCCCGCCGTTCACTTCAGAGCATTTTTTAGCCCGTATGAGCCAGAGACCTAAAATTAATCCCGAGCCGTCACACTCTCTCTATATCGCCTTGCTGAATGACTTCGAGCTGTCACTACGGTTGCTTACAGATTAGCTAGTTAGCTGGCTCAGCTAAGGGGCGACTCTAGGCAAACTGAGGAAGTTGCTGTTTACTTACTGGCATGCTATCTGTCAGCTTCCTGCTATCACCGTCCTCCGTCGTTCCGCTAGGACGAGTAAACGGCTATCACTTCGCTACTCCATAAATCTCCTCAATAATTCAACAACATCACCTCCTTCCATCTTCATTACTTTCTCCACTCAGACTACCTTTTAGAGAAGAGGACGCGCTCTACACTGAATGCCAGGCTTCTCAGCCAATAAGAGAGAAGTATATAATCCAATTGCCGCACGCCCAACTAAACCATCCAATCAAATTAGACACGAGGACCGCAAGTTAATAATTTCCACGATCACGGTAGGTTGTCCCAGTCAGTCGCCGCTCTCTGACAGCCAAGTGATTTGTCAAATCTGCTATTAATGAAGATTTGTATGTATAAGAAAACATACAGTTTGCAGGATATTAATTATCAATTTTGATTATTTACTAAATATATGAATGTTGATGAGTAAACTATAAAAATATCCAGTTACCATTTTTAACCATTATATTTCACTAAAATTGGGTCCACGGCCTATATTCAAGATTTTCCTCTATTTGATCCTCGTTCTTTTTATTTGCCGAGTATTTTCATAAAAAAGGAAGTGTTGGTGCTGCTTCTCTTTTACATCACACTTTACACCTAATTAATCCAAAGCCAAAGACAGAAACACTGCTCCAAAACTGTCCCTCTCTGGTAAACAATAAATGACCATGTGACAATAGCCTTTAGAACAATGGATTTTTGGAAATTAATTATCAACATGGCATATGACCATGTGTTGGTGGGCTTTTAGGTTAATAACAGTGGGAAAGCTGCGGTTTTTAATCAGTTAATAGAAGTCTGTACATTGAAACAGTAAAACATCCCACGCACAATCACGACAAACCTCCAGTTTAGTTTTCAGCTGCTGTTGCAGTGAGCTTTCATGTCATATCATGTCAGCTCTGTCATGTCTGGGAAACATACCAGCCATGAAGTTCGCAATCTGTTAAAGCAGAGTCCAGGCAGAGTTGTGGGAAAGCTTCGCAGAAATCAGTGAACCTATTCTGGTAAAAGTCACACACACACACACACACACAAAGTAGTGGCACGTTTATAAATTTAATTCTGGAGTTCAGACAAGCTTTGTCATTGCGGTGCTATTTCTAAAAGTCTGATGAGGATGAAACGATGAGCGGTTGTTAGATAAAAGTGAAGCGGCATTGCCCCCTAATGTTGGCTAGTGAAATTACATGTATTCGAGATAGAAGGGGACCTGCAGTGCTCATTTTCAACTGCACAAGTTGCCAATTCCACAGCACTCATACATCCTCATACCACCAGAGATGCAGACTTTTGAACTGAACACTGGTAACAATTGTCTCTTTAGTCCAGAGGATGGAGCTTTCCTGTTTTTGATTTGATTTGTCTGACCACATTGCCTCAGTCCAGGTTAAGTGCCTCAGGGAAGACAGCAGGGTTTTTTGATCATGTTTACATATGGCTTCTTCTTTGCATGATACGCCTTTAACTTAAATTTGTGAATGACATGGCAACGCATGTTTACAGACAATAATTTCTAGAAGTGTTTCATGAGCCCATGTAGTGATTTCCATGACAGGACTGTGCGTTTAATCCCGTGCATTCAGATTTTCAGCCTTGTCTCTTGTGCACAGAGATTTGTCCAGATTCTCTGAAACCTTTGATGGCATTATGCACTGTAGATACACAGATATATTCAAAGTCTTCACAATTTACATTGAAGAACATCATCAAAGCTAAATCTAGAAGAAGAAAAAAATTCTAAAATGGAATATTTAACACAGTTTGAAGCTTGAGCTTTTGGCTTTTACACAGTTACACACATCGAGAGTTCATTATTAGAACCTTAAGCCAGGTTAAGTATGAGCATCTACCACTCTAACAATACATTTGACAGAATGTAATGACGCAAAATTAAAAAAAACCACTTTAAACCTATTTAAAGTGTTAGAATACGTTTCTATTATAATCAAATAATAAAAGGAGATATGACAGTCTTGATACGATTGTTGGGGATATTTATGGAGATAACCCATGGAAATGCTGTACTTCCGCATTGTTGTCGGTTAAAACAAAACTTTTAGAAAGATATGTGCACTACAGTTGAGCCCCTGATATCTGTGCAGCCTCAGTGAGAACTGCCGTGGCCTGTTGTCTGTATCCTTGAGACAACTCTTTGGCCCTCCTCACTTCCCTCATGTTCTCCTCCAGGTTCTCACTAAGTCTCCCTTGTTCTTGGTAAGTTTCTGCTGCCTTCTTCACTTGCTCAGCCATTTTATCATGGCTACGGAGCAACCAGCCGATAAGCTCTTGAAGGGTGGTCCCCTTTGAAATGGTCATCCTGGTGCTGTCAGAAGCACCCTTCAGTTCGTTCTGAGCCCTCTGCAGACGTGGAGGAAGCGGTTTCCCCTCACCTGCGCCCTCAGACCACACAGGAACCGCACTGAGGAAGAAGTCGTAGCCCTTCATCTTAAGAGAGACCTGGTATGTTGGTTCTGGAAGTACATGAGTTTTTAAAAAATGGGGGAGGGAGTGAGGCATCAGCTACCATGAAGCGTGTGTTAAAAAGTATGTGTCACTCACCCTGCTCCTCTCTAATCTTCCCCAAACACTGAACAAAAGCAAGGGTGTCATCATGGGAACAGTCACAGCTCTGCTGGAGGTTTCTTATATGCTGCACCATGGCCTCGTAGCCTTCCTGCTGCTTGTTGAAGGTCTCAGCCATCTCCAAAAACCTCTGATCCAGCTCAGGCACGCACACTCGCCTCATCACCAGCCGTCCAATCCGTCTCACAGTCTGTGCATCTGAGTAGAAAAAAAGAAAAAAGAAAGCACGAGTAACACAGCAAGAAAAACAGGTGGATCAAATTCATCTGTCATTTTTATAAGTATTAAAAAAAAGTCTGAGATGACTTGCCGCTGTCCGCTGATGAACGGCTCAGCCTGGCGGATTCAGCACTATTGACTTCAGAGCGTCGGGAATCCAGGAGAGGCCGTCTCTGAAACAGCGAAAGTTGGTTTTATTTACATAGTGTTTTTCTTTTCTTCTTCTTGTGCCACAAATATTAGGCATATTTGATCACGTGTACCAGTGCAACGATGTGATCATAAACTCAGCTTCAATATTATAATAATTATGTTTCAAATCCCCAACAAAAGTAGATTATTAGGTGAAGACCCAGTAATGCTACATTACAGCAGTTAAGAGGATCCCATCATTTTACTTGCAATGGAAAAATCGAGCGAAGCGAAGCTGTATAGTTTCCTTGCTAAACTCTAAGGAAACCACTTTACGCTCTTATAAAGACACCATAAAACCCAGTGCAGCGCATAAACACATACCTCATTGTTGTTGGAGTTATCGCCAGAGAAGCAGCAACAGCATAAACGGAACATTTTCTGCGGCTCTGTGGCCTCTCAGTTTGTTTTCAGGTCACTTATTTCTAACAAGGCAATTGTAGTCCGCATTCTCCGTGACGTCAGCGTCATGAGAGTCGAGGAAAGAAAAGCTTCCTGGTTTTGTATTTTACATTGTTGTACAGATAAGAATTCAACAGGTGCAACGACAGGTGAGCTACTACAGCGCATGCGCTTTGCGGTGCTTTGCATGCCGCAAAGCTGAAGCAGCTTTGATATGCCTGTCCGATAGGATATAAAACTACAGTTTTGTTCTGAACAACAGAGTTCGCAGAAATATACAGTTAATATACAGCTAAAGTCCAACCAGAGCAATAACTAGTGCAGTAAACAAACACCCTGACTAAAAAAAAAAACCCTATATTATAATTAGTCCACAACCTATTATAACCTATATATATCGTCCCACCTATTCTGGAGACACCGATGACTGTAAGAAACAGCCTTTTCTACAGTCACTCGGAGACACTGACATATTATTCATCCAGGTGAAATTAGCTGTATCCCAACTGTACTATAGAGCTATAGAGAAACTTTTATGTTTTATTCACACCTGCTGTTTATGAAAACCAAAGGGAACTGCTGGGCTTATTTCACAACTCTTCTTGGTCTCAGAGTTGTAATACAATTTATGTCCAGGCTACAGGGGGCAGCATTACGACATTCTGTGCAGACCACAGAAGAAGGCGAAAAAGACGGAAAAAGAAGAAGCAGAAGAAGAGCATCACAACAACCAGAAAAAAATTGAGTTCTAGCTACACGAATGAACAATTAAGCTAACACGTTGTGCTTATTTGTTTTGTTTTTTTAACCCCTGGCAGACAAATTAATTTATCCATATGTAGAAGCCGCCGTGAAGTTGTCGGCCTTTAAATTCATACATTCACAACAAGCTGCTGTCGGGGTTTGCAGGCAAACTGCCTGTAGCTAAGCGACAACAAAGAGACTACAGCTGTACGCTGTAGTCATACTGTTAGCGTTGGTGCCAAAATCCTTCATTTTTTCCTTCGTTTTCCGTCAAGTAGTCAGACTGACATGACGGGGATGGCTTCTCCAGAGAAGGCGTCAAGCTCAAAAAAGAAGGGCGAGAGAAAGTGTGCCACCAAAGAGGAGTACAGGCAACTGTCCAGCATCATGGGAGTCATGAACAATTTGAGAAAACAGGTGTGAGTGTGTGTGCGGGAGAGAGAGAGGGAACACGAACCAAAAGTACCAGGCTGAATATCTTTAAGAGGGCTTTACATTAGGCATTTCCTCTGTTCTGACACCCGATTACTGCGTGTGATTTGCAGGGTACTCTCTGTGATGTGACCCTGGTGGTTCAGGGAAAGCACTTCCCAGCCCACCGAGTGGTGCTTGCTGCTGCCAGCCACTTCTTTAGCCTCATGTTCACCAGTAAGTCTGACAAACACAAATCAAGACCAATGGCGGCATATTGGGGGAGCAAGAGTGTGATTTCTTATTATATTTTAGAAGGTAGTAGATGCAGATATATGTTGCATAAATAATGAGAATTGTGGATTCCTGTTTTTGGCTTTTAAAAGTTGAATGAGCAAAAGGAAAGAAATTTATATGTAAAAGTAGATGCCAGGCGAGCATGTACTGCATCTCCACACCCCAAAGGCTGTGTCCTCACTGCAGAAAAACTGAATATTTTACTTAGTGTCATCTGCCCACTCCTAATCTAATAAAGGCAAACATAGGAATTAGTCTATTTAAGTAATTACATTGATTGTGTGTTTCTCAATAAAGATGGCACAAAAGCTGAAAGTTTATAACCACCCCTATAACGATTACTATGTATTTTTATGCATAATCTATTTATTACTGCTTCCCATCTTGACACACCGACAGTGATGTTGTCATATAGTGCTAGTACACTTGTTATATTTGTGTTTGTTATATTTTCTTCACTTCTAGCCAGAATGATGGAGTCAATGTCCCATGAGGTGGAGCTCAGGAGTGCTGAGCCTGAGATTATTGAGCTGCTGATTGAATTTATCTACACTGCAAGGTAAGAATTGTGTATCAAATTAATTATTACAGATAAAAAAAACAGAAGCATTTTTATTGAGAGAGGCATGTTTGTTTTTTGTTTGTGTGTGTGTCAGAATCTCCGTGAACAGCAGTAATGTCCAGTCACTGCTGGATGCAGCCAATCAGTATCAGATTGAACCTGTGAAGAGGATGTGTGTGGAATTCCTTAAAGGACAGATTGATGCAACAAACTGCCTAGGTGATTGCACAAATACAAATACAAATACAGACCTTCCATTTGTGTTACACATGATATTTACTTACTCTTGTTCTGTTCTCCTGTAGGCATTTCAGCCCTTGCAGACTGCATGGACTGTCCAGAGTTGAAGGTGGCTGCAGATGATTTTTTTCAGATTCACTTCACTGAAGTCTATAAATTGGATGAATTTCTGCAACTGGATGTTGCGCAGCTCACACATCTGCTGCACCAGGACAAACTCACCGTCCGTGCTGAGGCCCAGGTGCGCGTGTATACATCCTTTAAATATATTTGTGCCAAAGAAGACGTCTGTCACCAAAAATTTGTTAACATGTTCTTCTGTTGCGTTGTGCTCAGATTTATGATGCTGCAGTGCGCTGGCTGAAGTATGATGTGTGTAACAGAAAGCAGTACATGGTGGAGGTGTTGGGGTGTGTTCGCTTTCCACTGGTTTCCAAAACATTCCTCTCCAAGACTGTCCAGGCCGAGCCCCTCATCCAGGACAATCCACAGTGCCTCAAGATGGTCATCGGTGAGCAGGAAGAGTCAAAAACACGTGCACGCATGTACAAATTCTACATTTCAAGTGAACAAAATGAGCAGACAAAGTTACCGGTAACTGTCTCGTTCATGTCAATGGACAAAAAAAGCACAAGCAGTTCACACTGGCAAAAAAAAGGTTTTAAGGATGTTTTATAAATGCATTAAACGAGTAATATCTCATTTATATGTAAATATTTAGACTTCTAGTGCAGCACCCTTGGGTCCAGTCTACTTGGAATTATCCTAGAGCCCTTGCTTTTGGAAGTTTCTCTAATTTTTCTCAGCAGAATTGTTCAGAAGGTTAGTTGCTCAGTGACTTCTTTCCCCAAAACACTGCACTTACTGTATCTGGTGCTTTTTGGTGAACTCCCTGCAGGCCTACTCTTGAGGTCTTAGCCACCTGTTTAACTAAGACGCTCTGTTTCACATTACTCAGGAAGCCTGTTAGTTATTCCAAATTTCTTCAATTTAAGCATGGCTGAGGCTGCTTTTAGTGCTTTAAAAATATTTGTAATCCGTCCCCAGATCTATACTTTGGCACAGTCCTGTCTCACAGGTCTGCGGAAAGTTCAACTCAACTTCACCTCTTTGTTTTCAGACGGGTGTGAGTCTTTAGTAATTGTGTCCAGTCCAATTATTATATTGGTTGTAGAGGGACGAGTTAAACTGTATAAACCACTAACAGGTAGATTGCACCAGAGCTCATAATACGGGATCTGAATACTTCGGTAAATGGGAAATTTCGTAACTCTTTCCTTTTACTTTGTCATTGTGGATTATTGCATTTTGATTAATTGTGGAAAATAAATTCACTCCAATTTTATCCAAGTCTAACACCCTCTAAAACAAAATGTGAAATACTTGAAAGACTTGCCCTGGAGTCATAGAAGTGCTGAATCTTAATCTAAATGATCTACATTCGACATTATTATGATAGCAAAAGATAGATGTATAACATATATTGGGTATTTCATTACCTCAAAGGGCTGCTCGCTTTACTTGAGCACGCACACAAAACAAAATAACCAGTGCTTTTCTCCAAGGTGGGATGCGTTACCACTTGCTCTCCCTGGAAGACCGTGAAGACCTGGGAGAGAGCAGTCGGCCACGACGCAAGAAGCACGACTACCGCATTGCTCTGTTTGGCGGCTCACAGCCTCAGTCCTGCCGCTACTTTAACCCGAAGGTACCGGGCTGCAAATGCTAATGAGTTATAGTCACAGGGGCAATCACACCAAAGAACAATTAAAGGGAGTGCAGATATGTGCTCTTGAGTATTACAGTATAATTAATAAGCTAAAGATAAGATTGTTTTTTGTTTTTTTTTAAAGGTTTTAATTTTACAGGCACCTAATCTGTTCTTTGGTTCACAAAACACTCTATGAGACTTGAGTTTAGTCAGGTCTGTTGAAATCATATTTGGGAATGTTTACAATGGTTTTCCATACAGGACTCTAGCTGGACTGACATCCGCTGCCCCTTTGAAAAGCGCCGTGACGCCACAGCTATCTTCTGGGACAATGTGGTTTACATTTTGGGTGGCTCACAGCTCTTTCCCATCAAGCGTATGGACTGCTACAACGTCCTGAAGGACAGCTGGTACTCCAAGCTGGGTCCACCCACACCTCGCGACAGTCTGGCTGCCTGCGCTGCCCAGGGAAAGATCTATACATCTGGGGGATCAGAAGTAGGTAAGCATGAAGTGAGGGGAGAAAAGATTTAAAAATGAGAGACTCTGGGATCTTGTGCAACTACCCAAAGAGATGCAGACATGTGATGGGGAAAGTAAGCTGGTTTGTGCTACTATTATTACATTCTCTAAAAAAGTAGGAACATTTAAATAGTAAAGATGTCTTGTTAAAGCATAGATAATGATTTCTTCACGGTTGACCGACCACCAACATGTGCCTACAGGCAGCTCAGCCCTGGACCTTTTCGAGTGCTACGACACCAGGACAGAGTCATGGCAGATCAAAACAAGTATGCTGATGGCGCGCTGCAGCCATGGATCCGTGGAGGCCAACGGGCTCATTTATGTTTGTGGAGGAACGGTGGGGAACAATGTCTCTGGCAGAGTGCTCAACAACTGTGAGGTCTACGACCCCAACACGCAACAGTGAGTCAACAAACATATAACATACTGTACAACGCTTCTTAATGTGCCCATTTAAAGTGCCATTGGCCTGTTCCACTCAATTTTTGCCTTTCACAGATGGAGGGAGTTATGTGGGATGAGAGAGGCCAGGAAGAACCACGGACTGGTGGTTGTAAACAACAGGATATATGCTGTTGGAGGGCAGGGAGCAATAGGTAATTCATCGTCCCCCCAGATTTTTATACCGCCCATGCACTCC